AGAGGGATCTGAAAGCTGGGGCCCTGTGACAGCCCGTCGAACATGTCCTAGTCCATATTTTCAGAACATGCTCATATTGATTGAGCCCCACCCGCAGCCTTTAAAGTGATTTTAATTGGCTAGCTATAACTATGGCAACTATATGGCCTAGATTTTCTAGCACCATCCAGATTTCAAGGACTGTGCTTAATTGTCTCTCTAAGTACATGACTAATGTCAGGGCAACTGCTTCAATTTCTCGCTCAGAAAGGAAGATTGTTATGTCTACATGCGATTTCAGGCCAGGCCATAGATTCCAAGAGCTCTGCAGTGTAGCTGCAATGCTCCTCAAGGGCTGCGAGAGGGCCCTTGTGCCCTGATGAAGAATACACTCATTAGCTTTGCTGGCCGGGGACCAGGGACTGGGCCCTCTACCTCCTTGGGCATTGTTCTCCTTGGCCCAGTGATTAGGGGCAGTCAAGAGACCTGTAAGGGAGCAGCTGAAAAGGGGATTTTGCTTTTAGGAATTTTTTGGTGTAACATTGGGGATTGGTAAATCAGAGTGTATACTGCAAGCTTTCTTCCCGCCTGAGACTTAGAAGTCAGGTTAGAAGTCTTGGTGGGTGTTTCCCACTCCCACCTCCTTACCTCCAGGAAGAAGGGTGATTGGAAATGACCTCCTCCTGCTCTCCCTCCTTCCGTCCCTCCCTCCCTCCCTCCCTCCCTCCCTTCCTCCCTCTCTACATCCAGCCTTCCTTCTTTCTTTCCCCTGCCTATCCTTCATTCTTCCCACGTTTCCCCTCCTTCTTCCATGCCTTCCTCCCTCCTTTCCTCCCCTCTTCCATTCCTTTCCCCTTCATTTTCTCCCTCCTGCCCTTCTTTCTTCCCTCCCTCCTCTCCTCTTCTCCCTTCTTTCTGTCTTCTTCCCTCCCTCCTTCCCTTCCCCTTCCTTTCTATGCTCTCTCTTCCCCTTTCCTCCTTCCCTCTGTTCCTCCTCCTCCTCTCTCCTCCCCAAGATTTGATGTAGTAGAAAAGTAAGAAATGACACATAACGAGGAGCTGGTCGGCAATGCTTTCTTAGTGGCTGTCTTATTTAGGGCTCTCTTGAGGAACATAATCCCTAACAGAGACTCTTCAATAGATTGGCTTTCACAGTATGGTCTGGGTAGTCCAACAACGGGTATATACAGGTGAAACCAAGACCTGTGTAGCTGCTTAGCCCACAGGGCTGAACGTCTCAGCCATCCCAACCTGGCACTGCTACTGGTCTCCAGTCCACATTGGACAACAAGAAGAAGAATCTGGGTTCCAGTGTCATCAAATATGGTAGCTGCCAAGCCAGCAACAGAACAGCTGGATTTGTTACAAAGGGGCAAAGGTGGCCAGGAGAGGAAGCACTAGCTTTTCCCTCTGCTTTCCTCATATCTGGGCATCGGATGGAAGGTGCCATCCACACCTGGGGAGTGCCCTCCTTCATAGTCTCTCCACAAATACTCTCTCTGGCCCAGGGAGGCTATCTGGTGGAGTGTGGGCGAATTACCGGGGCTGGGGCTGCGTAACTGAAGGAAAACGACTTTCCCTTTCCCAGAAGCAATGAGCTGCCAACAACTTCTTGGCTAGGGCCTCGTGAGCCCATCCACATCCAACTTGAATTTTGATTGATTTGATATTGTTAACAACAGCTGCAGTACAACAGCGCACACACTCACGGGGCGGGGAGGAAGAGAACCTGTATGTGTGTGTGGTGTGTGGAGGCTAAATTTGACATCACAATGGCTTGCTCGGTAGCATCTCTATCCTAGGGTTTGAGACAAGGTCTCTTCACTCAATCTGCATCTCCTCCTTTCATCTAGACTGGCTGACTACGGAGTCCAAGGAATCACTTCTCTCTGCTTCTCCCCACTTCCAGCCTCTTATGTGGGTGCTGAGGATCTGAACTCGGTCCTTATGGTTACACCCAGCTGTTTAAGCACCCAGACATTTCCCAAACACACTCTCTTTGATGCTGAGACCCAAACCTAGAGCCTTGCCCATGCTAACCAGATGTTCTGCCACCGACAGATCCCTCGAGTCCCACTTTTTCCATTAATAAACTCTTTCACATCTGGCTTTATTGAATGCTAAAAAAAAATTTCTGCTCTTTACTAATGTGTAACTTTCATGTCAAAAGGATAATTTAAGTGCAGAAATCAGTCAGTTTGCACACTTCACTTAAATAGAATCACACTATATATAGTGTCTGTGTCTGGCATTCTTCTTAGGCATAATTAAAAGATACGTTTATTTATATCATGTATGTGTTTTGTCTGCCTGTATAAATGGGTATCAAGTGTATGCCTGGTGCCTGTGGAGGCCAGAAGAGGGGTCTGGTTGCTGAGAACTGGAGTTATTGGCAGTGATGAGCAGCGACATGGGTGCTGGGAACCGAGCCTGAGCAGCAAGTGTTCTCAATTACTGAGTCTTCTCTCTAGTCCTTGGTATAATATTTCATGTTATGGCATAATATTTTGATTCATCGATATTATAGCATATGCCAGCTTTTTATTACTCAATACTATTCCATTATCTGGAAAGGCTGCATCGTGTTTATCTATTTGTCAATAAAAGGACATTTGAGCTATTTTTGTTCTTATTTTCGATGTCTTCATTTCGTTTTGGGCTTGTCAGTTGTAGTGTATGGAAATACACTGGGTTTTTACTTTGATCTTATACGCTGCGACCTTGCTGAACTTTAAAAACAATTTCTTTCTTTGGCAGATTCTTTGGGATTTTTCTATTTATAAGATTGGGTCATGTGTGACAGAGGCAATTTTACTTCTTTCTTTCCATCTGGATGTTTTTATTCTGCTTACGGCCCCTGTCTCAGCCCTCTATAGTCTGCTGTGACGCTTCCCGGTTCAGACTCATTACCCAAGCTGCTCCGCTTCTCTTTTTGTATGCTGTGAATTTCACATTTAAACTTGAGAAAGTGACACCAAAAATAGAGAAAAGGGAGAGGGAATCCGAGCGGTTCAAGTTGAGGTTTTGCTTTTTGTTTGAGCCAAGCTTTGCATTCTACTGCCTGCATTTCTGGCTAATATGTGTTGCCTTCGGGTTAGCTGACCACGAGGAAGCTATAGCCAGGGAGAAAAGGAGGCCGCTGGTTCTCCCTAGTTCAGACACAGATGATAGGAATGATGGACCTTGGAACTGATACAGGGAGAACAATATTGTCCCTGTAGGCACCCCCCCCCAAATAAGAAGATGTATTATTATCTTATTAAAGGTTTCTTTAGTGTTGTTTGAGATGGACTAGGAATTTGGAAGCATTTTGGATCCTCTGCTGAGAAGATCACTTAAATGGGTTTTGTTCTCTAACTAAAGACATCTGCTTCCTTCCCGCACTTGACTGTCTTCATTGTTAACAAGTGGCGTTTTTAATCTCTCTATTCTCCGTATGGAAGCCTTTCACTTTGCAAGTATTTACTGAGCAACTATTACATGCAGCATCCCCAGTACATGCTGTATATGTTATAAGAAGTGACACTGTGTTTGTGGAGGGGGAGGACCGCAGGAAGGAACGACCATCCCCGGGTGTTTGGGTTTCCGCAGAGGAAAGTTTAACTGGGATATAACTTGAGGACAAATAAAGGAGCAGAGAGTCTCCAAACCGCGAGACAATACAGTGTGACTCAGAGGCACAAAGCTTGTAAAGAACGACCTGATGAGATGTCATGAGCTCCGTGCTGCTGACCAGCGATGCTGGGCTGGGAGACACATAGCTTCTGCTGTGCGGATTCTTACACACTCACAACTCCTTGAAGCTCAAAACTGTTCCTTCAACGTTGTGGATCCCTCTGGCAGACGAGGATGCCATGGTATGCTGTCTTCTGTGGCTTTTAATGCTGAAAAGGACGGATTGAAGAAAGCATTCCTATACAGCACGTTCCGTCCCTTCTTATTTCCCCCTTCCCATCTGCCCCCTCCCTTTCCCCTCTTTGCTTCCCTGTCTTCTCCATCCTCTTTCTTCCCTCTCTTCCCTTCTCCTTCCTCACATAGCCAGGGTTGTGTGCATTGTTCATACAACTGACCTACATCTACAGCCCCATCCACCTAACTTCTAAAGAATATTTATCTGTCTCTGTAAACCTAGGATCATATTGTACTTTTATCAACAGTGTTTAGCAAAAACAAAGCAAAGCAAAGCAAAGCAACAAAAAACTGAAATACATGGATAACTTACATTTTTCTTTCTTTCTTTCTTTCTTTTTTTTTTTTTTTTTTTTAGTTTTCATGGAGGTGAAATACCGAACTAGAAACTTTCCAAAACAGACCACCTCAACTTCGTCTAATGCGGAATTAATTCCTCCAAGAATTTCTGCCACCTTTGGCGATTACTTTTCTCTGCCTAATTGTCTGGTCATGTAGCTTATGAAGGAGCAGGGGAGACACGAACGTGGGAAACAACGTTCTGCCTGCACGCTTGGTGTAAATAATTTTTTCCTATGTATTTTTGTGCGCATATTTGAAAGCCGTCACACTTAGGCCATGAGATAGGAGCATAAGCAAATGTCGTCTCTGCCCCTTAAAGTTTAAGAGTAAATGGCAAAATAAAGTTTAATGACAGAGGTTTGAGAAGAGGACTGTAAGAATTGCTTGCTTAGGGGAGTGTATCTCTCACATCTAGCTTTGAGTTGTTTGGACAGCCACTGCCTAACTTAACTGACCTAAGTTTCTAGAGTAAATTGCAAAATGCGTTGGATGGGTGACCAAACCTCCTTGAAAGCAGACCAATTAGAGGCCTCCAGGTTCGTCAAGACTACAACTCCCAGAGTGCTCTACGCTCCATGCACGCCCTGGAGCAACCATCACGCCAGATGAAGACTACAATTCCCACTACTCTCAGAGGCTCCGGAAGCCACGTTAAGTACCACCTGTTGCCATAGCATCCGGGTCCGGAGCCACCAATCCTGAAGCATCTTCCGATAAGAGGCGGGTAAATTGCTTCTTGGGCCAACCCGAGACGCCGTACTCCTGGCACGTGACCGGAGGAGGCGGGCTTTTGGAACCGGCGCCTTCTCCTTGCTTCTTGGGGTCGTGGCCTTGCTCCTGCAGGGCAAGGGAAGCGTTCCAGGGTCCTGACGCGCAGGTGTGCGCGTGGGTCCTGACGTGCTCGCGGGTCCACGCGCGGACTCTGCGGGGACAGAAGCAGGAGCCATGGGCGGGACGGCCAGCACCCGCCGGGTCACCTTCGAGACTGACGAGAACGAGAACATCACCGTGGTGAAGGGCATCCGGGTGAGTGCCGTGGGCGGGCGAAGGGCAGCCCCTGAACTCGGACCCCGACGCTGAGACGTGCCTAGGACCGCCGCATCTGCTTTCTCCGCTCTCGGCTCGCGTGTTGTCCCGCCAGAAGTCTAGCTCTCTCTCTGGGAAGAAGCCCGTAGTTGGAAGACTCGGAACGTCCATTCAGAGAAAGTTCTTGGTTGTGTGCCAGGCGCTGTACTGGGGTAGATGGGGGTGCCAGGTCACCACATCCGTCCTTGCTCACTAGTTGCAGGACCTAATTGCAACTCTTGATTCACCGCGCTGTTTAGTTCAGGACCCGAACCCTGCTTTCTCATGCACATCTCCCTCTCTCTCTCAGGGTGAATTGGCTTTTTAAGGATGACTCTTATTTGCCTCTGCCATTCATTGTCCCTCTTCTGGTATCACCGCTTGCTCCAACATATGCATATACTCATGCATCCAAGTCATTCCTGGCTCTGCTGGCTAACTTCTGGCTTCTGGCTCCTTCCCTTCCACCTGATAATGCCGTTTTCCCAGGCGCCTCCGCTGTGGTTTGTTGGCCCAAGTTTTGAACCAGGCCCAGTTACTACAGGCCTGCTACTGTCTGCCCAGCCCGATAGGGGCAGAGGTCAGTGCAGTTCTTCAAGGTTGGTAGAACTAAGAGAGTCAGTTCTGAGGGCTTCGTTGTAGAGACTTTTTAAATACCCATTGTGTGGACTTAATACATGAACTGAAACTTGAGTGTTCTCTAGGGCGTCAGTATCCGGGCACTGACTTCATTAACACTCTTCTCTGCACCTGACTTTGGAGCATCATGGTTTGGGAAGTAGGCTTGTACCTAGGAACCAAGCGCTCTGATTTCAGAAGGCTGTAGATGTTTTCCGTCTGGTTTTACACAACTATTAGTCTGTGAACTATGTAAGATACCTTTTGGCATTTGTTACAAGGAAATAAAACTTTAAAAACATTTCAAGTGTTTAAAAACTTCTTCCTCTGAAACTTGTTACCTCGAAAAGAAATTACTAAGGTTTTCCTGGTAGGAGCTCCAAACTGTTGGACCTGAGGCTTCGGTCTGTGGCCAGCCGTTCTCACTGTGCTCACCAGTGCTAGAATGGTCGTTCTCGCATTCTCTGCCGTGTTGGCGTTTAGTTGGTACTTTTTGTGGTAAGTTAAGAATTAATGCAAACTTGAGTTTTATACAGAGATTGAAAAAAAAAAACAACAAGTTGTCTCTAGGTTTTGAATGTTCCACAATAGAGAATGCAAAGCTTGAAAAAAAAAAAGTAAAAGAAAACCTCAGGTTAAAAGATTTGGGTAGGAAATGCATAAGTGCGTGTCCTCATGTTTCAGTACAGACACAGCAACGACACAAAACAAACCGAAAGAGAGTTTGGCCACAGCGTAGAGATTTAGATAAAATATCAGATCATGTTGAGTGATAGGCCGGCAGTAGGGATGGTTCTTAGGTTCAAGTGGTGAGACTGTTTTTAAAGGAGTTTTGTAAATTGTTTTTTAAAACCATACCTTCAGTTATACAACTTGAAGCAAGCTTCCTTTCTCATAGATACATTTTATCTCTGTTGTTACAGTCCAGGCATGGCAGCCCCATTTTGGTTTGTATCCCACTCTTCTGCAAGTGCCCTTGGCCAGGTTTCTTTGCTTCCTGGCTTTCTCACAGTTGGCGTGTACTCTCCCTTGGCTTCCTTCAGTTTTCTCCTCTCCAGACTGGTGGAGCCTCTTACCTAGATACTCCCTTATCCCCGTCTTTTCCAGCTGTTGAACTGTGAGGTCATTTTGGATCCCTTGAGGTCATGCACAGGAGAAAGCTAACTTGGAATTCAGCAGACATGCTTAGTCTGTGGTTATGGACCAGTCACTTCTCTGAGGACAGCTTACCCCTAAGTCCAAATGTATTACTTCCTTTAGTTAGGGTAGGAGGATGCGGTGTGTAAAACTCCTGATGAATTGTAGACCTTTAGGTTACTATTAGCAGTAGTAGTGTTACTATTTCGTGGCTCTGGGAATTGAACTTAGGTTGTCCTCACATGTGGCTAAACAAACGCTCTACCATTGTGCTGTATTCCCAGCCTGCTTTGTAGATTTATAAATAAAGAGCAGTCATTATGATGGGGTTCCTTTCACATTTAAAATTCTAGAGTTCCTTGGAAGTGCATTGGGATCAAACAAACCTGGCTTCAGATCTTTGCTCTGAGGTTAGCGTAGCTTAGGACGGCATGGGCAAGTCACCTATGATCGCGTCTCCCTATCCGGTGTTTCAGTGGAACTGCATGTTAGTGAGAGAGTGGCACGTGTGTTCCTGGCCCTGTGCTTTGTCAGCGTTTGCACTTAGAGCGCTAGCTTGGAGTTCTGCAGGAGAGCCGAAGCTTAAACCCCGGAGACCACGGCGGAACTAAACCAGAGGGCATGCCGTGCCCCATGAGAGAGAGACCTACAGGCCGGAGAGAGGGTCTTGAGAGGGTCCGTTCCTGTGTGAGGCTTGTAAATCTCTCTTAGCTGCTCTTGCTGTTTTCTTGGCTTCTACCAGTCATCTTGTTTGCTTTCCAGGCATGAGAGCAGCATTCTTATCATGAGAGCAAGGCTTTGTCTTTAGGCAGTTGTTAAAACATGGACAGATGCCTGGCGGTGGTGGCCACATGCCTTCAGTCCCAGCACTCGGGAGACAGAGGCAGGCAGATCTCTGAGTTTGAGGCCAGCCTGGTCTACAAGAGCTAGTTCCAGGGCTGTTACACAGAGAAACCGTGTCTTGAAAAACAAAACAAATAATAACAAACAAACAAAAAATATGAACAGATGAGGCCCAAATTCCAGTTTTGGATTTCATAGGTTAATGCAACTTGATTGAAGAAAGGTTTTCAAATTTTGATCCATTTTATAATGTTTAGGATCATCAGTTAAGAAAAATAAGTATGCTAATAATTCTGTACTCACTCCTGGGAAACTAGTTTGTGTTCTGTTCCACTGATGAGGATAGTAATTTCATCTTCAGTTATCCTAATATAGAGAGTAGCATTTAGTGAGCAGCAGAAAACTCACTAAGTAGGTTGAGTTTATTAATAGATGATAAGTCTGTTTATTTATTTATTTTTTTCCTGAGGTGCTTATAGCATGCACTTAAAGGACTTGCTTACAATGCCAAGTTTCTAGTCTCTTCTTGCTGACAGTTGCTACTTTTCATGTCTTTTATATATGGCCCTGCTCTTTCTTTTATTCTGAGAAGTTGCTAGTACTTTTCTGCCCTCTGTAAAATAGCCTCTATTCTTACACCTGGTTGCGATTTTGCATATGAAACTACTCCTATGGCCTGGATGAAGGATTACTCTCTTGCCTTGTACCTCTGTCTCAAATACATTTTCTCATGATAGAAAAATAAGCGTTTTTATTACTCACATGTGCTTAATAGGATTTTTGTGCGCACCTGCTGTGCCTGCTTAGAAAGTGTGTTCAGGACCCGTCTTTCACTAATTTATCTGAAGCATCCGAGCTGTGAGTGAACTCTTCCAGAGCAAATGTCAACCTCAGTGAGTATCATTTTCAAAGTTACACTTACCGTGCTTCCTGGCATGACGAGTCTCTGCAGCTGGCCTTGAAGCTGGAGCTGACATCCGCAGGAGCCAGTCAGCCCTGTGGGTTCCTCTGAAACACCATGTGCTTTGGGAGGTGTTGGCAGCTGAGAGCCCCTGAATGAAGGGATTCTAAATGAGGGTGCTGTAGAGGGCTCAGCAGCGAGCGTGTTGGCAGGATTGCGCGTTTATTTGGTTAGTCATAGGGACTGTGAGTAGTTTCAGCTTTAGGTTCTGTGAATGTCTTGGGCCATCTTAAGCTTTCTAGGATGCAGAACACAAGTAGCAAGCTACATATGAACAGAAAATCACATGGTTTACAGAAATGAGTCTGTGTTCCCTGCCACCTCGTTTTCTAACAGTATGAGAGAATTGACAATTTGGTGTCTGTGCCTTCAAAAGGTCGTGGGGGAAGCAGTGCTCAGAAGGTGATCTGTTCTTACCTGGAGGGAAAACCAAGAGAGAAATTTGTTCTGTTTTCTTTAAGGCAATTTGATAAGAAACAGCTGAAGAAAGGAGCTTCAGTTGTGAACTGTTCTGTGTCATGTGGCTCAGGCCTTTACCATCTCAAAGATAACTTGAGTGTCCCCCTCTGAGAGCAGAAGACTTTGGCTTTGTTCTCTTATTCAGCCTCTTGGATCTGAAAACATGCTGAGCTCTGGCTTGGTTGGGGGTATGTTTGTGCGAATTTTGGGTAAGACCAAACAGTGAGTGGGAAGAGGTAAGTGGGATGACTAGATGATACTCACCATGCCCCCGTGGAGCCTCTGGTGTGAGGCAGACAGTGGTCGGGTTCTGCCTGCTCAAGTGTCTGAATAGGGTAGGTAGGTAAGGACGCCTGCTTCTGTCAGCAGGCCTGCTTGTTCCGATCACCCTTACTTGTGGTTCTTTTGCTATACGGACCACTGTGAGCTCTGTGAGGTATGGACTCTGCCCTAACAATACAGTGAACACAGAGTTCGTGTACATTGAATTAGTCCTTGGACTCCAAAGTCCAGAGGCCTCTGGGTATAATTTGTAGTATCAATATGTGTGTGAGGGGTTTACTACACGTTTGGTGTTTGGATGGAGATCCAAAGGCAGCTAGAAGACAGGTGGAGCCGATAAAAGTCAGCAAGTGGGGAAGGCTCTTGGAATGCCCTCTTTAAGGACAGACGTGTTTTCTGGAGAGTTTCCTCTTAGGCTGCTTGTCCAGCTCTTCCTGAGGCTTATGTGGTGTCTTTGACCCCCACCTCTGCCCAGCCTTGGGGCAACTTTCCTCACAGAAGAGCTGAGCTGTTCTACAGCTATGGGCTGTGTGTATGACCTTGACCTGTATAGTTTAACTTGTCTGCTGCCTCCTGAGTGTGTGCCAGTTCTCAGAGGAGATCAGGTGAGACCTGAGCTTTCCTCAGACTGGAGTTGCCATATCCAGCTAGCTGGGGACAG